TCTCTGTGCTCCCAGCTTCTCACTACGCGGATTTTTTTTCCATCTTTTATGCTCCTTCTGTCTCCTTTTGACTGAGTGATTGTCCTTTCCCTCTTTGCTTGTTCAAGTATTCAAAAATTATTTTCTATCACCTGCAATGTGTTGGGTACTGTTGTAGGCACTGGAGTTACAACTAAAATTCAAGACATGCATGGAGGAGTTGCGTTGGGAAGGGCAGAGAGAAAAAAAAGAGGCAGTAAACAAGAAGAAATAACAGCTCATGATGACATCATGCAGATAATTAAAGTCAAAAGATCTGATGGAGAGAAAATAGGCGTAGGTTGGACGGGTGGTTAGGGAAGACCTTTCTAAAGATGTAATATTTAAGCTTGAGATCTGGATAATGAAAGGCGATAGACAGGCAAAAGTAACAAGGAAAAATATGTCAGAAAGAGAGAACTACAAGCTCAAAGGCCATAAGCTGGAAATAAGCATGGAATGTTTGAAGAACTGAAAGAAGGATTGTGCAACCAGAGTATAGTTAGGGGTGGGGCTCGGGGTGGGAGTGGAAATGGTAACAGTTGAGTCAGAAGGTACGAATGTCGGATGTCATAGGGCTGTGTGAGTCAGTGGGAGGAGTTTAGATTTCATTCCGGTTACCACTGGAGGGATTTTAGAAGAGCGACAGGATGGGATTTACCTTTTAGATGAGATTTACCTTTTGGCTGCAGAGTGGAGAATGAAGTCTTGATGGAAAGACTGAAATAGTTCACAAGAGTGAGGGGATGTTGATGTCTTGGCCCTGAGTAGTGGTGGGAAAGTGGTGGATTTTTCATACTATAAGGGAAGAGCAGGCAATGTTAACTGATCAACTGCTTTGGCGTAGGGGGAGTGAGGGAAACAGAAAAATCGGAAAGAATTCCTAAACCTTTGTTTTGATCAATTGGAGGGATGGTGGTGCCACTTACTAAAACAGAAAAGCTATGAGAAGAGTTGATGTTTGGTGTGAGCAGGACTGAGAATCCTGCTTTGGACATGCCCATGTGAGATGCCTGTGAGGGATCCAAGTGAACTCTCAGGTCTGAATTTTTGAGGAGAGGAAGGACTAAATGTGTACGTGTGAGAGAAATCGGCACATACATGGTGCTCAAAGACATGGAGAGATGTGTGCATAGGGAAGAAAAGAGGGCCCATCTGGTTCACTGCTGCTCAACATTCCCCAGTGTCTTCCCCTCTGGTGTCTCCTTCCTCACTGCTTACATAAATCCCTGTTGTAAACACTCGTAACCATTGTGTACCCTCCTTCACAGTTCTTGACACAGTTGAAATATGCATGTATTTGTGCAATCGGTAATGCAGTGATAATGTGACTAGGTGATAGATCCTTAAGTGTAGAGACTCTGTCTGCTTTTGTTCATCATGTGAAGAAAGATCACCCAAAACTTAGAAATAAGGAAAAAAGGATGACTGCATGTTCTTTCCATGTCATAGAGCATTGGGTAATAAGCCTGTCCATGGGTCAACTGGTTTTCATTTGATGTACTTTTTACTTTAATAAAGGACCAGACTCTGTGAAGTTAGGGCTGAACTTGTAGGAAACTGATAATATATAAATGACTTTTGTCTAGTAGAGAGAATTATTACCCCCAAAGTTACAGTTTTACTATACTGTAGAAATTGACTGCTTTTTTAATCCAATTTAGAAATCTTATTCCAGCATTTTTTTTTTTTTTTGCTTAAACTGCCTCTCTTCTTCTCTCTCTCTCTCCTTTTCTACATATACTTACATATGCATATGTGTATGTATATCATATATTTATTTTTATCCTGTATCTTTCTTTGAATCGGCTTATCTTGATGAATCCCTCATAAATGACTCAAATACAACTTTGACATGTGCTCACTATGTTTTTCATGAGAATTATGGTTTTTTGCTTTTTTTTTTTTTTTTTTTTGAGATGGAGTCTCGCTCTGTCGCCCAGGCTGTGATCTTGGCTCACTGCAAGCTCCGCCTCCCGGGTTCACGCCATTCTCCTGCCTCAGCCTCCCGAGTAGCTGAGACTACAGGCGCCGGTCACCACGCCCGACTAATTTTTTGTATTTTTAATAGAGATGGGGTTTCACTGAGAGCTATGTTTTTAACATTTTGAAAATTGTACACTGACAGGCATTCACATGGTCTCCCAGCACTTTACACAGTAAAGCCCCTGATGCAGTCTATACTCAATACGTATTTGCTAAATGAAAGAATAAACTGGCCTAGGACCTAATGAATATAACTAAGGTTTATGAGGCTAACTCTTATCTCTGCTAAGTGTTTGGAAAAATATATGGTAATCAGACTCTGAGAAAGGGCCCACACAGGTCACCCTTCAAGTACCTCTGCAATGTCTAACTCATCCAAGAGTGATTATCCTTGTCAAGGCAACAGTCTTCAGGGGGCACTGCTTAGCTTAGCAACAGAATCTTCAATATAATTTTTTTATAGTACCTATTGCAAACAAGTGACCTGGGTATGGATTTGATCTGGGACTCCTTAAAGATCACAAAATTATTAGTTAAGAATGACTTAATCCACAATATGGGAGAAACAACATTCCTTTTACTAAGTTGTTAACCTAAGCATAAATCTATACATATGATATAAAAGAAATGTGTTTCAGTATTAAATTTCATTTCCTCCTTATTAAGAAATTAGTGAATTCTTATTCAGGTGTAGCTCAGGGCAAAATCTCTGTCTTGGTATGTCCTAGAGTCTCTTTTTTTCTCCCCTCTTTCCTTTTCCCTCTCATCTCTCTCACCTTGTTCATGTTGTGAATATTCTCCCCTCTTTCCTTTTCCCTCTCATGTCTCTCACCTTGTTCATGTTTTAAATATTCTCCCCTCTTTCCTTTTCCCTCTCATCTCTTTTACCTTGTTCATGTTTTGAATAGTCCATTGATCCCATTCTTTGTTTTAATTATTGATCCCTATATTACTTGTCTTAATATATATGTATCCATATATTACTTATTGTCTTAAAACATGGATCCATTTATCACTATTACTTTTTTTTTCTTTTTCTGAGACTGAGTCTCACTCTGTTGCCCAGGCTGGAGCACGATCTCGGCTCACTGCAACCTCTGCCTCCCGGGTTCAAGCAATTCTCTGCCTCAGTCTCCTGAGTAGCTGGGATTACAAGCACCCACCACCACACCCGGCTAATTTTTGTATTTTTAGTAGAGACGGGTTTCACCATCCTGGTCAGGCTGGTCTTGAACTCCTGACCTTGTGATCCACCCGCCTCAGCCTCCCAAAGTGCTGGGATTACAAGCGTGAGCCACCGCGCCTGGCCACTATTACTTTATTCTATCAGTGGCTTTATACAAAATGCAGAATATTATTTAGCTATGTGCAGCTGCTAAAAGTACTAAATTTAAGTGTATCAACATCATTTCTGTAGTTTCAACTACTATGCTCTTGCTAAAAGTCTGAAATTCTAGAGGAAGAGTTCACCTTCAAAGCACTCAGCAGAACACAAGCTGTGGCTGTTGCTTCTCTCTCTCTCTCTCTCTCTCTCTCTCTTTTTAAACAACTGGAAGAACTACCTCCTCTCATTTTCTTTTTGTATTCACTGCTTGCTTCTACTTATCATTCGTAAATCACTTCAGAAACAACGTGTCCTAGTGTTGCCTCTCTGCTAAACCTCCTCCTCCTCTTGCCCTTCTCTGTTCTGTACTGTAGAACAAGAGGTTGTTGGTTACCTCCATGGCTTTTATTGAGAGAGAGAGTGACATTCAGGATGAGTTCGGCATGAAAATCCATCTCACTCTCAAAGCAATTTTCTTACAGAAAATTCATTTTCTATACCTTCTAGTGATAGCAGTTCAGGGACTTGCTATTTAATCATCTATGCCCATGTGGGACGCCCTTAGTCATGGTCATTCATTCACTTGTGTGGGAGCCTTTTGCATTTATCTCAGCATCTTTGGCTGTTTTACCAGCTCATTCACCTCTGTGAATCTGAAGCAGTATGTCATATATTTCTGGATGATACAGCATAAGGGCATGGACAAGAGGATAGTTGCCTAGAGAGGAAGAATTAATAAACTGGGTTGTAAATGAAGATGGTATAAGAAGGAATGTTGGTGCAGAAGAATGAGGAGCATTTTAAAAAATTATAGTCTAGGCAAAGATGCAAGGACAACATGTCTTTATTCTTCATGTTTTAACAAATATGGATTGACCACTTCCTACATGTTTGGCATTTGTTCAAGGTAATGGGGAATAAAGATCAATAATGTACCATTCTAGGCAAATTCATAGGGAAAGAAAGTAGATTAGAGATTACCACGGTATTGGGGAAGAAGGGAATAGGGAATTATTGCTTAATGGTTACAGAGTTTTTGTTTGGGGTCATGAAAAAGTTTGGAAATAGATAGCAAAGGTGGTTGCACAACATTTTAAATGGAATTAATGTCACGGAATTGTACACTTAAAATGAACAAATGACAAATTTTATTATATATAATCACAATTTATACAGAGTAATAATGCTATAAGCACAAAACCACTGAATTATGCAAATGAGTGATTTACAGGATATGTGAATTATGCCTCAATTAAAGTTGCAAAAAATTAAGACACTATTTTTGCTTTACAAGAGTTCAAGTCTAATGGAGCAAATCAATCTATACACAAATTATAGGTATTACTAAAGGACAAGGTATCAAAAATTGATGGTTAAGAGAACAAATAGAGAGTCACATTGTTCCAGTTTAATCCCTTCTCTGTGTCACTAACCCTATAACCTTGAACAATTCACTTACTATCTTTGAGCCTCACCTTGCTTACCAATAAAATGGGTCCAATATTAGTGTATACTTCATAGAGCTATTGTTATAGTTCAGTGACGTAATTTGTGTATGTACCTGAAACATAGTAGAAATGTAGTATATTTTAGATTAAATGTTGATAAGTGCAGTTATAGTGAATATGCATTTCAAAGCTAAAAGTATTGCATAGATAGACTGATACATGTCATGCATATGCACTATGCATTTGAAGGGGAGAGCTTCGAAGTGATTATTGGTCAAATGACAGTCATCGGTATGTAGTGCCAGTCATTACATCATTGATGAGTAATTTTGATATAGAAAAATTAAAATAATATTCTCATCATTTCTCAAAATTCAGTAACAAATAGTCTCCTATAAAGAGGGGAAAAAAGTTTCACAGATACTGGTGTAAATTACTGGTGTAAATCACTAGTGTTGATTTATAGTATTTTATTTTTATCATAAGGTTTCTTAAATATCTACAAATATAAAACAAGCATAAGCTCTTTATACTTATACAACAATATAACATACTCGGATTTATATAAAATAAATATGTCAAACTCTACTCATCTGATAAAGTTCAAATCAGAGGCATTAATTTAATGTGACGGGTAATATTGTTTCGCTGATATTAAATCACTAATCTTAAAGTTAAGAGTGGAAAAGTAAATGTTGTGTTTTATATTTTAATTGTGGCATTAGTTCTCTTGTATTTGAGCATGATGGGCCGTAGGATTAATCACCATTAAATCATTCACCAACTTTCTGTTTCAAAAATATACTAGCTTTTCTCTTCTGGACATTGGCCTAGGCAAAGAATTTATGACTAAGACCTCAAAAGCAAATGCAACAAAATCAAAAGTAAATAAATGGGACCTAATTAAACTAAAAAGCTTCTGCACAGCAAAAGGAATAATCAAAAGAGTAAACAGACAACTCGTGGAGAGGGAGAAAATACTTACAAACTATGTATCTGACAAAGGTCTAATATCCAGCATCTACAAGGAACTCAAACAAATCAGCAAGAAAAATAATAATAATAATAATAATCCCATCAAAAAGTGGGCAAATGGCATGAATAGACACTTCTCAAAAGAAGATACATACAAATGACAAACAAACATGAAAAAAATGCTCATCAGGGAAATGCAAATTAAAACCACAATATGCCACCACCTTATCCCAGCCAGAACAGCCATTATTAAAAAGTCAAAAACCAAGAGATCTTGGCATGGATATGGTGAAAAGGGAATGCTTATGCACTGCTGGTGGGAATGTAAATTACTATTGTGAGGTCTTTGGGGTGTCACTTTTCTGGCTGGAAACCTGTGGCCAGCGACACCTTTGCCCGAGTTTTACTCAGGCCTGCTGGGCTTCTTCCTCTGTTTTGGCCTGGCAGGCTGCACTCAGTTCATGCTACCAGCCTGGATCCCACGCCTCCAAGGGAGACCGAGAGTCAGGCATGGAGCAGCGAGGGGTGTGTGAGCGAGCCTGGGGTCCAGTCACTGTATAGTCAGACATGTCTGCTGTTGCCACAGGGAGGGCAGCTCCAGGTGCCAGCATGGGCACTGGCTCTCTGTGAGACTGTGGCTGGACCAGGCACACCGCAAGCAGCTTCCCCAGCTGGCACCGGGGAATGCAGTGGCGCCTGGAAGCTTGGAGATGCCAGGAACTGCAGGGCCCCAAAGAGGGAGTCACAGCCCTGACTCAGGGAGCTCCCAGGTCTGGGCCCCCTGAAGGGCTGCAGCTCTTATCTCCTTCTCTTCACCCACAACGTGGTGAGCAAGGGGCATGTTTCAGCCATGTTTGTGTTACAGCTCTTTTAGTCTCGCCATTTGGTGGGTCCTGAGTTCTTGTCCAGCAACCAGGAAAAATGAGGTATGCAAACATGTGGAAGGTGAGCAACACGAAGAGAAGCTTTACTGAGCAATAGAATAGCTCAGAGAAGACCCACAGTGGGCAGCTCCTCTCTGTAGTCAGGGTGTCCTGACAAGAGTTCAGCTCCTAGCAGAGACAGTAGCTCCTCTCTGCAGGCAGTTCATCCCAACAAGTGTTCAGTGTTTTCCTATTTTTAGTAGAGACTGGGGTTCTCCCTGTTGGTCAGGCTGGTCTCGAACTCCTAACCTCAGATGATCCGCCCACCTCAGCCTCCCAAAGTGCTGGGATTACAGGCATGAGCCACCACACCTGGCTACCCGGCTACTTCAACTTTAAGAATATTAAATAACACACGCAAAATGCTTAGCACAATCCCTACCATGCAGTTATGTGTTCAGTAAATGTTAGCTACCATTGTCATTATATTACGATTTGTAATGATATATTTATCCATTTGACTAAGTAATGATGCCTCTCACTTCCACCAGACTGGAGTCTCCATTAGGGAAGGAACAATGACGGCTTACTCCAGCAGGGTAGAGTGCCTGGCTCAAGTAAGAGCTCAATTAATATTAGTTGAATGAACAGATTTACAGTCTCTTCTTGAATGCAAAACTAATTGCCATGTAATATTCCTTTGCTGGGCTGTATCTAGCAACACTGGAGTCTGGCATTGCAAGATGCATATTGCAATTGTGACTTAAGATTACGATTGTCTAAGTCTGTTCCGGCTGCTATAAAATTACAAGAAATTTAGAAGGCCGGGTACGGTGGCTCATGCCTGTAATCCCAGCACTTTGGGAGATTGAACCAGGAGGATTGCTTGAAGCCAAGAGTTGGAGACCAGCCTAGGCAACAAACAAGATGCCATGTCTACAAAAAATGTTTGAAAAATTAACCAGATGTGGTGGTATGCACCAGGAGCATGGTATGCACCAGCTTACTCAGGAGGCTGAGGAGGGAGGATTGCTTGAGTCCCGGAGTTTGGAGGCTGCAGTGAGCTATAATAACACCACTGCATTCCAGCCTGGGTGACAGACAGAGATCCTATCTATAAAAAATAATAAGTAAATAAAGAAAATTTAGAAAATATTTCTAACAAGCATTACTATGAAAGAAGATTTGGTGCTGGAATAGATGTATTCATTCAAATTAATTTTATTGAATATCTAATATGTTCAGTATGCCTAGGAAGAATACTAGGCACTGGGGATGCAGCAAGAAATCAAACATATCAAAACCCCTAACCTAACACAGTTTTAATTCTAGTGGATAAGACTCTTGTATAATTGTTTCTTAAGTGTCAGATACATAGATTTCTTTGTACTCCTGCTCTTCCTTTTAATTTGCAGTCATCTGAACATCTTTGTAAGTCTAAATGAAGCCATTTGTAAATCAATCTATGTGTCCTTCTTCTCCTGTTAGCCCGCAGGTCAAGTCTTCAGTTCTTTCCACAGACCCCACAGCACCCAGCTCATTACTTAGCGCCCTCAGCACTCACATGCAATCTGAACTCAAACAATATGCTGCGCGGGCTCCATGACAAAATAAATAAAAAGAGAGCTCATGTTCCACCAAGTTGGATCTAGGACTAGGAAATCTACAGGCCATTTGGATCAAGTGAGGAAACCTGTGGAGGAACCAGTCTCCAGGAAACATGGGAAATTTACATTACTACCCCTTCTTATTCTTTTTTTTTTTTTTTGAAACAGGGTCTCAGTCTGTCTCTCAGGCTTAAGTGCAGTGGCGCAATCATGTCTCAGGCTTAAGTGCAGTGGTGCAATCATGATCACCGCAGCCTCAACCTCCCAGGTTCAGGCGATCCTCTGACCTCAGCCTCCCAAGTAACTGGGACTACACATGTGTGTCACCACCTCCAGCCCCTTCTTATTCTTTTAACCTCCTCAGCAGGGCTCTCATTGAAGTGACAGATGTCCATCTTTGCCTTTGCATAGCTGTCTCTGCTTTGGAATTGCCCCTAGTTTTGCTCTTAGGCGCTGATGAGGACTCTGGGTGAGAACAAAGCCCTATTTTTTTCAGGTCCATGGATCTCTCAGCTTGAAGTCAAGGTCTCATTTTCTTCTTACAGACCTGCCCCTTCCCCTTTCCAGCTGGCGAAGAAGCAGGCTGCTCCCGCCAGGTTTCAGAAACTATGGTTATTTGATGGTGCAAGAAGTCAGACTGTTTTGCTACAAGTGGCAGAAAGCTCTGGGGATCCTGCCTGGGGGGAGCTCGGCCAAAACACTGGGTTAGGAGGGGGTGGGAGGGGTAATCCGTTTGGTCCCACGTCAAATCCCACCACTGACTCCTTTGAACAAGGGCTATGGAATGAGGCCCTCTCCCAGCGAGCTGTATGAAATTGGAGACTCCACTTACCTTCTGCCTGTTAAAATTAGACAAGCCCACCACACAGCAAGAGAATAAGTGGCAAGCGTGTGGACAGCTCTTTCTGAGCTGGATGATTTAGTGAAGCAGCTGTGGGGGACACAGGATGGGGGATTTGGAAGAAGGACCCACTGGGCTGAGGGAGGACTGTTCACCCCCTATTTGTAAGGCTGGTAAGAGCAATATTGTTTGGGAGGTGGAGGGAGGAGAGTTTGCTGTTTCCAAGGCTTTGAGCTCTTTGCCATGGAGTCAGTGGGGAGCCTTTGAAGACAGGTTCCCCCACCCTATTTCCCACTCGGGGTCTGGGGAGGGACTTAAGTTAATACAATGATCTGGGAACAGCCAAAATCCAGTTGCTATTTGGCTCTGCACTTCCAGGGAAATGTGAGCTGTCTGTTTCTCATTACTTTGCTCTTATCACATCAGGCTGCTCTTGTGGGGAAGCAGCTTCATTTCCAAGAAACCTGTTTTGATTCTCCTCCCTTGAAGTCCTCCAGGCTCTTGCCTCCTCCCTCTTCCCACCCCTCCCTCATCATCTCACCCCTTACTCCATCTGCTAGTGACCCAATTTCTTCCCCATCTAGGAACTAAGCTACTACCTGCCCCCCGCTAACACTAGACCTAGAAAATAAAAAGGTTAAAGTTTGGTCAGTGACCGCAGCAGATGGCAAAATATAACTCCTCTTCCTTTGTGTTTCTAGGTTATTACTTTCTTGTTTATGGTGTTAAAGGGACTGTGAACCTCAGCCCATTTTGCGGCCATAAATCAGCAACTTGGAGAAAGTACCTGGTATGTTTGCAGGTGGGAGACTCCTTGTAAAAAAACACCTGGTGGCCCAGTCTGAAAGGCAGGACAAAGTAAATCCTGTGGATAAGTCCAGCCACCATGCTCCAACACCATCTCCTTCAGGACACGAATGGGTATGGACAGTTAAGTCCTCTATTGTTGCACATGCTCCATGAGGACCTGGGGATGTTCTCAGCCAGCAAGGACCAGCTGGATGGCTGCTTCTTGCTCAAGCATCCCTCAGTGAGACCTTGGGGAACCCCAAGTGCCTCTCTCCAAGTTCTGCTCACACGCATTTGCCTTTATTCTTACTTCCTTCTTTCTGTCTCCCTCACATTTTATCTATCCCTGCTTTTCTTCTATTCCCACCTTGTAAAAAAGAAAAAAAAAAAAGAAAGAATGAATAAGACCTACTATCTGATAGCACAATAGGGTGACTATAGTCACTCAAAGGATAAATGCTTGAGGGGATGGATACCCCATTCTCCATGATGTGCTTTTTTCACATTACATGCCTGCATCAAACCATCTCATGTACCCCATAAATATATACACCTACTATGTATCCACAATTTTTTTTTAATGAAAATATCTTCCCTATCTTTTCCTAGAGTTTCACTCATGACTGTCATTGAAGGGTTTACTGAGTCCCACGTCACCCAGGGTCCACTGAGATCTCCCTGCTCTTCAGCTTTAGGGAAGATCGCCTCAATTCCACTCACGCTTATGCCCTGTCCTGTGAAGATCCAAAGTCTTCCTCAAGTTGTCGTGAATTCTTCAAGAGGTAGATCCTTTTGGTCTACTCTGACTCTCAACTACTGTTTCCACTGAGCTAACCAACCGTGTAGGTCATTGATTCTGTGCCTGCTATGCTATTTCTTTCTGTGCCAGAATCATCAAGGATAAGAACCTGACACCTCCCTCAGTTTAAAAAACAACTCTCACCAGGCCCATGTATGTGAGTACATGAAGAGGTTCACATTAGAGAATCTCACACAACTTCAATTGCATATAGATACATCCCTTTTTGTGAAATGGTCCAACCACACTTGCAGATTTTTCATACACTCCATGGCCCCAGGACCCCCAGCCTCACCCACTTCTCTGCCCACTCTTCCTCCTTCCATCTCTCTTCTTCAACAGCTCATTTGTGGAAAAGCCTTTGTAATGACAAAAGGACCATCCATTTTAACGGGTCTATCTTCCTTAGAAGGCTGTTGTAAATTTTATTTTTTTTTAATTGTGAATTGACAAATTATAGTTGTATACATTTATTGGGTACAGTTTTACTTTACTTTTTTTTGAGACAGAGTTTTGCTCTTTTCTTTTTCTTTTTTTTTTTTTTAGACAGAATCTCACTCTGTCGCCCAGTCTAGAGTGCAGTGGTGTGATCCCAGCTCACTGCAACTTCCACCTCCCGAGTTCAAGCAATTCTCCTGACTCAGCCTCCCAAGTAGCTGGGATTACAGGCGTTCACCACCATGCACAGCTAATTTTGTATTTTTAGTAGAGATGGGGTTTCACCATACTGGCCGCGCTGGTCTTGAACTCCTGACCTCTGGTAATCTGCCCACCTCAGCCTTCCAAAGTGCTGGGATTACAGGCATGAGTCACCGCACCTGGCCTTTTTTACTTTAGTTTTTAATTATAAAATATTTCAGGAATTTAGAAAACTCCACTGGTATATTTTAAGATTTAACAGATTTAAATAAGATACAATGGATGCTAAAATGCTGTTATTTTTGCTTCAGGTGTCTCTCTCTTCCCCACCCCCACTACCTCTCCTCCTGCAAAATAAAATGCTTTTCATACAGCTAAAGCCTGGAACCGATCCCTTTCCTTCCCTCTCACCCCCTTTAGGATTAACCAGTATCCAAAAGTTGTTGCATCATTCTCATGCATGTTTTTGTACTTTCATTACATATGAATGTTTCCATAAACAACATATAGTATTGTTGGGGGTATTTTTAAGTATTTGCTTAAATGGTGTATCGTAGTCGATGCTGAGAATGAGCTTTATGAGCAAGAACATTATCTTATTCTAGTCTCTATTTCTTACAATCTCAGTCAGTGGCCCAACATCTTGTAGGTACCCAATAAATACCTTCTGAATAAATTGCATTACAAAATAGCCTCCAAATCATCAATAATAATAAAGCATGCCAAGTTAAGTAGTGACCCAAGATACGTGGTCATCTATACACTTTTTAATTTTTGGCCTATGAAATTTCAATAACTATGAATAACTGTTCCAACATAGGTACATTCTTCCTGAGATTAAACAGGGGCTTTATAAATGCCTCACTAAGGAGCCTTCTATCACCAAGGCACAATGTGTCTCCCTTTACATGACCCTAATTCAAGGAGATCCCCCGAGACTGAAGTTCTTAGCCCATGTCCTCCTATTCCCCAAACTGCTGACTTCATGGATGAGTACAGCCTCTCCTCTTCTCCTACCCCAAGTTCATCCCCTCAAATGCCAGGAAGACTACTTGATGTTACTATCTCTGGAGCAGCCAAGGACACCAGCAGTCATTCAGTAATGGGCAGGGCTCACATCCCTATGGTACTATTTATTCATCCAGACTGTGAAGAGGCAGAATCCTTCAGACTCTTGGCTGCAACTCCCTGTGAGACAGAAACCTCACTCAAGGCAATGGGGCTGGGAGCTGCTCTGACCTCTCATTACTCTGACCTTCAGTAGAGAAACCATATAATTTATCTTCTAAACTCTTATAACTTGGGAGTAAAGATGGTGCCATTAATAATTATGCCAGGTTAATAGACATAAAGATCCCTTTTGGCAAACCAGGATGTATGATCATCCTAAATCAGCAATCCTGTATAAAGCCAAACACAGTATCCCTTCTTATAAGGTGCCTCAAGTGATATACTATCCAGAGCCTCAGGAAAAATTCCCTCATTCCCTTTTCCAGGATACATCTAATGATGGATGAGTCCATTCTCTTACAGCAGCATGTGAAGACCTAATCTTCATATTGTTAAGTATGGGGAGAAGAGACGGCTTTTTAGCAAAGAGTAATTAAACTCACTTTCCATTTATTTTTTCTTTCTCCACTAGGATGAAATTAGAGCCTAGTCTTCCCTCCTAGTCCTCTGAAAGTTTGCAGAGAAATGACAACATACATCAGACATGTATAAATCAGAGGAGAAAAAAAAATATAAGACCAGTGGATCAAAACTGTGGCTCTGAAGCAGAGTTTATGTGGCATCAACGGTAATGTTTACTGGGTGACCATATGGTTTTATAAATAAGAGCTTTAGCATTAGATAAATTTGTGTTTAAGTTTCAGCTTCACCAGTAATCTTCATAAGACAGACAAGTTACTACTCTAAATAACTTGTTTAACTAGACTGCGAGAGTGGTATTATTCCCACCCCCATTTTACAGGTAAACTGATAACTTAGTTTACAAATAGACCTATCTATAAAATGAGGGTGGGAATAAGATCAATCTCACAGTCTAGTTAGAAATCTTTCAGTGAGATAATAAATTTAAAGCCCCAAGGACAGCGCCTGGCACATTTTAGGTGCTGGGCAAATATTAGCTATAATGATTACTCATACTATTTAAATCTGCATTGTATTTTTTTCTCAGCATTTTCTCTACTTCCACACATATTCTCTCTGTCCCATCAAACTGGCCATTTAACTTTTTCAAAAACTGCCTTGCATTTGCCACCTCTTCATTTTTGTTCCTGCCCTGCCTCTTACCTGGAACACTTGCCTCTTTCCTCTCTATTCTTATCCTTTTGGTTCAGTATAGCCCCATCTTACCCCTTTTTCACAGCCTACTTCAACTGCCACATCCTCCATGCAGTCTTCTGAAAGGTGAATTCTCCATCGCTGAATTCGTTGTTTTCTTATCACTTTCCACTATGCATTATAGGAAATTAGTACTTTTCTAGTACCCTGCAAATTTGGCGAGGACATATACCATGCCTGATTAAGATTTATCTTCCCCACGGTGTTTATCATATTACCTTGAAAAATGTGCTCAAGGAATATCTCCTGACCATAGTAGAGCTTAGAACATAGCAGTTAACAGCTGGAGTCAGACAGACCTGAGGCTCAATCATAACTTCTTTTTTTTGAAACAGAGTCTTGCCCTGTCGCCCAGGCTGGAGTACAATGGCTCGATCTCGGCTCACTGCAACTTCCACCTCCCAGGTTCAAGCGATACTCCTGCCTCAGCCTCCTGAGTACCTGAAATTACAGGCGTGCACCACCACGTCAGGCTAATTTTTTGTATCTTTAGTAGAGATGGGGTTTCACTATGTTAGCCAGGCTGGTCTTGAACTCTTGACCTTGTCATCCACCCTCCTCGGCATCCCTAAGTGCCAATCATAACTCCTAATTGCATAATGTAAAGCAAATATTTAACCTCTTCAAATCTTGATGCTCCCCTCTACAAAATGGGCACATGGCTACACAAGTAGGGTTGAGGACCCTGGGTTTACACTTGAGCAACCAGTGAATATTCATGAGATCATAGCCTTCTGCTGCATTTATTAGCTTAGTCACTGTTATCGTGAAGTTTCATTATCGTCAGTAATACCCTTTCAGAATGATGCATACCTATTCCCAAAGTGCTTTTAGATCTTTTATTTTGTTGTTCAAGTCAGTTCCAATAAATGCTAGAGAGTTGCGTAACAAAGACCTCTCCTACATCTTTCACTCGGGGCCAAATCTGACATCTCACAAGCTCCCCATTACAACAACTGCAGAATTCATGTGTTTTCATATTTTTCACCATGAGCACTATGACCATTAATCTCACCCATTGTGTCAGCTGTTCAACTCAAGAACACACAGAGATTTTCTCTTATCTGTCACAATACATACAAAAACTGAAGCCTGATCTTAGCCATTCACAAATATCTCCCTTCTGGATCCACATTATGAATAATTTCTTTTGTGACCGATTGGTTCATTTTTTCGCCCCTCACTGCTGGTTCCCATGCATAACTTACTCATTCCTGCCTCTGAGCTGTGTAACAGGCCATCCATCCACCTTTTTTTTTTTTTTTTTTTGAGACGGAGTCTCGCTCTGCCACCCAGGCTGGAGTGCAGTGGCCGGATCTCAGCTCACTGCAAGCTCCGCCTCCCGGGTTTACGCCATTCTCCTACCTCAGCCTCCCGAGTAGCTGGGACTACAGGCGCCCGCCACCTCGCCCGGCTAGTTTTTTGTATTTTTTAATAGAGACGGGGTTTCACCGTGTTACCACCCAAATTTAACAGTGTGCTGTAGTGATTGAGGATAGGCTCTAGAGCTTCTGGCTGCATCGTTGATAGACTGGAAATGTTGGAAAATGCACTTACCCTTTCTGAGCTTTAATTTTCTCCACTGTCAAATGTAACTGGGTAGGAGTGACTTCAGACTTCACTTGACGCCGGTGCCAGGCGAACATGGCGGCGGCCACTGGACCGTTGTTTTGGCTGAGGAAGGAAACCCTGAAGGTGCCTGCCACTGGCGCTCTTTGCCTTGAACCGGCAGCGCCGCTGTGCGCGGCTGCGGAAGAACCCTGCTGTGCAGGCCGCCTCAGTGGTGGTGCGGCCGGGAGGCATCTACGCTGGGGTCCTCTTTCGCCAGGAGTCCTTCTTTCACTGGGTGTTCGGTGTCACCGAGCCAGGCTGCTACGGCGTCATCGACGCTGACACTGGGAAGTCGGCCCTGTTTGTGCCCAGGCTTCCTGCCAACCATGCCACCTGGATGGGAAAGATCCATTTCAAGGAGCACTTCAAGGAGAAGTATGCCGTGGACGACGTCCAGGATGCAGATGAGATTGCCAGTGTCCTGACGTCACAGAAGCCCTCTGTCCTCCTCACTTTGCGTGGCGTCAACACGGACAGTAGCAGCGTCTGCAGGGAGGCCTCCTTCGAGGGCATCAGCAAGTTCAAAGTCAACAACACCATTCTTCACCCAGAGATCGTTGAGTGCCAAGTGTTTAAGACGGACGTGGAGCTGGAGGTTCTGCTCTACACCAATAAAACCTCCAGTGAGGCCCACCGTGAGGTAATAATGAAGGCTGTAAAAGTGTGAATGAAAGAATATGATTTGGAAAGGAAATTTAAATATCCAGAATAATAGAAAGTATAATGAACCCGAAGTCCCCATCAGGTTTTTGTGTTAGTTTTGTTTGCTAGAGCATTTTAAAGCCAAACTCCAGATATCATGTCATGGCACCTGTAAATACTCCAGTAGGTATCTCAGTTGATGAGAACTTTTTTTATTTTTCCATAACCACCATGCCAATATCACATCCTTTATCACAAATGAACCGTAACTCCTTAATGTCATGGATATCTACTTCATATTGATCCTAAACTCTTTTTAGCATTGGTTTGTTCAAGTCGGGATCCACACAGAGTCCATACATTGCACCTGGCTGCTGTTGGAAGCAGGATGTCGTGAAGCTGAGCTCTGGGGAGATCGCACCCCTGTCTACAAACTGCTCGACTTTCCCTCCACCCCCATCCCAAGACCCCAGATTGGCCTTGCTGCTGCCTCCTGTGTGGACCAGGGTGGCTCTTGGAGAGATGAGCTCGAAGCCAGAGGCCACAGCCCAGTGCGCCAGGAAGCTGTCAGCCAGGAGCAGCCACCCGCACGAGTGCGCCTGAAAGCTGAGTGGCATCGGGTCAGTGTGTATGCCTGCTGTGCTCATGCTGTGCACCTGCCGTGCGCGCCCACCTGCGGCTCTGGCCACAGGACATATAGAGGGGAAACAGTGCTGGCCGGGGAAGCCATCTGATCTGTGGGCCCCTGAGAGCTTAGAGCAGGAGGGGTGGGGATGAGGACTGAGATAGCAAAAACGAGAGATGGAGTCTGTTCCTGAGGGGACCGAGTGGGGAGAGAGGGGTCACGCCCTCTGAAGATGGTGGGAAGATGGGTCTCTGGGGAAAGTGTCACATCATAGCGTGTCCCTGGCCAGATTTGAGGAGGGCGCCCCCGATTGCCGGTGCCCAGGCTAAACAAAGCCCCTGGGACATCTGTAGCCAGAGAGATGTACTAACACTTCTGCCTCCTCGAGCTCCCTCTCCAGGGCAGGATCACTTTGTGATGCAGTTTTGTTGTGGTCCTTGTCCTGGAGAGCCTGGAGGTGCCTTCTTGGGGACCACGTCTCATTTATCTGCGCGCTGTCTGACCCACCGTGGGTGTCAGGAAACGTGTGGGTGGATGCGATAGATGGATGGGAAAAAAGAAGAAAAGGTTTTAAGCTATTTTTCTGCCATCTTTTATGCCACTGGGGACGTGAGAATTCTTAACTAGTGGGGGAATAAAAATCTCTTCTAAAGCAGGAAAAAAAAAAAAAAAGCGACTTCTGGTGACTTCTGATAATCTGGCAAGCTTAGCTAAGGTAGAAAGACTGTCCCTCCACATGATAAACATAGAAACACTGGAGAAAATACAACAAAAAGGAAAAATTAAATATGTAACCAAACTCATGAATAATAAAAGCAGCCAGGCACAGTGGCTCACATCTGTAATCCTAGCACTTTGGGAGGCTGAGGCAGGCAGATGGCTTGAACCTGTGAGTTTGAGACCAGCCTGCTCAACATGGTCAGACCGCATCTTTACAAAAAAATATTTAAAAAAAAAAATTAGCCAGGTATGGTGGTATGTGTGTGTGTAGCCCCAACTACTTATGAGGCAGAGGTGGGAGGATCACCTGAGTCTGGGGAGGTCAAGGTTGCAGTGAGCCTTGATCACACCACTGCACTCCAGCCTGAGCAACAGAGTGAGACCTTGTCTCAAAAATAACAGTAATAACAATAATAAAAGAAAATTCTTGGACGGGCGCGTGGCTCACACCTGTAATCCCAGCACTTTGGGAGGGCGGATCTCGAGGTCAGGAGATCGAGACCATCCTGGCTAACACGGTGAAATCCCGTCTCTACCAAAAAATACAAAAACTAGCCGGGCGAGGTGGCGGGCGCCTGTAGTCCCAGCTACTTGGGAGGCTGAGGCAGGAGAATGGCGTAAACCCGGGAGGCGGAGCTTGCAGTGAGCTGAGATCCAGCCACTGCACTCCAGCCTGGGCGACAGAGCCAGACTCCGTCTCAAAAAAAAAAAAAAAAGAAAAAAAAATTCTCAGGTCGCAGGAATAGAGCAGGAAATCAAAGTCAGGGTAGGGAACAGCAGACAAAGCCTAAGAACTCCCACAAGGATCAGAAACTGGCAAAAACCGTAGGGACAGGAGGCATTCCTATACTTCAGGTTCCTACAAGACAAGGTGCTGAACTTGAATCCCTACTAAAAGCTAGTGATGACAAATGCCATCAGACCATAAAATTGGACTCGAAATACTCCTCTATTGGCCTGGATACACAGTAAGAAAGCTACCCATCAGGTGTCATGGCTAAAAGTTTAGACTCATAAGAAATCATTGGCCTTAAATTGACACACTCCAACTGGTGGGACACTTGAAGCCAAGAAATTATCACCAAAAAAAGATCCAGAATTGGTAAAAATCCACTGAGATTTGGAAGAAGCAAACTCAAATCATCCTATAAAGAAGAAGATAGATCTCAAGTCATGGAGACTCGACTTTTGCTAAGAATGAGTTTACTACAGAAAATAATTTTGAACCACACGAGTTAATAAGCCACATAAAAGAAAGTCAGAAGATGAAACAAATAGTAGGAATTTGCAATAGAAAATGGCAAATAAATCAGTATAAAAATGTTAAATAAATGTTTTTATATTTAAAGAGAGAAGAAGCATAAACACAATGCATTATTAAAATATTTTAAATTGTTGTTTTAATTTAAGAATTAAAAACATTTTTTTAACCAAGTAGAAATCTTGATAATGAACACATAGTCACTGAAATAAGTACACACAAACCTTCATATTTAATGGTTGGGCCAAAAACAGATTATTCATAGCTGAGGAAATAATTAATGATTTAGAAAATGGAGCTGATGAAGATGTTAGAATGCATTATATGTGGCAATAAAATGGAAAATACAAAAGTTAAGGTCTGCATGGTGGTTCATGCCTGTAATCCTATCACTTTGGGAGGCCAAGGCAGGAGGATTGCTTCAGTTCAGGAGGTTGAGACCAGCCTGAGCAACATAACAAGATCCCATCTCTACAACAAAATTTTAAAAATTAGCCTGGCATGATGACACGTGCCTATAGTCCCAGCTACTCAGGAGACTGAAGTGGGAGGATCTCTTGAGACTGGGATACTGAGGCTGCAGTGAGTTGTGACTGTGCCACTACACTCCAACCCGGATGATGGAGCAAGACCTTGTCGAAGAAAGAAAGAAAGAAAGAAGAAAGAAAGAAAGAAAGAGAGAAAGAGAGAAAGAGAGAGAGAGAGAGAGAAAGAAAGAAAGAAAGAGAGAGAAAAAAGAGTTAAGAGAACTGAAGTAGAGAGATAGACAGGCCCAAATGGGTCTAAAAGAAATTGTAGGAGAACACAGAAAGTGAGGGGAAAAGCAATATTGAAATAGAAATCGAACAGTAACTTTTTCAGAACTTAAGAATGACTTAAATTCTCACATTAAAAGATTATTCCTAGCACTGAAAAGAACAACAAAATTCTCCTACATATACTATAGGGAAGTAACAAAATATGAAATGCAAAGAGAAAATATCCATATCACCTAGAGAAAGGATATTACTCAAAAAGAATGACCATTACATCAAAAAGTCTCCCCATTCGTTATCATAGATACCAGAAAACAATGGAACAATTTCTGCAAAGAGTTAAGGAAAAATATTTGGCCATCTGTATTTGTACACTCAACTAAATTCTCATGAAAAAAAGAGGGCAAAGTAAATATATCTTCAGGCAAAAAAAAAAAATACAAAACTGAGTTTCTAAGTCCTCACTTAAACTGCTTCTAAAGAATATAGTTCAGCTAAAAGAACCCAAAACCTAGATGTAAAGAGGTGGATTAAAGAAGCAAGGAAAAGAAAAAAATTGGCAAACATGAGTAAAGTTAAGTATTGGTATTTAAAAAATAATATTGACCAATGTTGGTGGAGGTGATGAAAAACAGTTCAAACTAAGGAACCAAAACTTGGAAATAAAGATGGAATGAAGCTAAGAATCTTTTACTGTTTAAAAAGCGATTAAAGACATTGATTTATTTTAGACTTTGCAATGTATATATGTTAAAGTGTAAAGGCAACTACTAAAAGAATAGAAATAGAATGTAAAATTTCTACAGAGAAGCAAAAAACGAAATAAGTAAAATGCGATTAATCATATAGATGGCAGAAACGGAGGAAGAAAAAAGGGAAGGGGAGAAGGCAAAGAAATAGAAAACACAAGGTAAAATGATTTTTTAAAGCAGCACAAATAAACCTCAATAAATGTTAATAAACATAACTTTCCTCTGAAAAGACAAACTATTAGATTGTACTGCTTTCTATCCCAATAGATGCTGTTTACAAAGGACATGGCTGAAAGTAAGGACACAGAAAGATTTAAAATGAAGGGATTAAAACATTGTATATCACATAAATATTATTCCAAAGGTTTTCTTCATGGCATTAACAGGCTAGTTCTAAAATTCACATAGAAGAATAAGGGAACAAGAAGAAACATGAATATTGTGAAGATAAACTGGAGAAGGATTTGCCTGACTAAGTATCAAGACTTATTTTAAATCACAATAGTTAAAACACTGTCATATTGGCATGGCAATAGACAAATGAACCAATATCCAAACTACACACATATGGAGATTTGGCAGTGTTACTAATCAGTGGGAAAAGGAAAGACTAGTCTGTCAATGGTGTGGGACACTTGGCTATCCATTTGGAAGTTAATAAAAGTGGGTACATCCTTGTATCAAGCCATATGCAAAAAAAAATGAATTCCATATGAATTAAAAACATTAATCTGAAAAGCAAACTTTCTAAACATTTAGAAAAGATTCTAAATTAGGGGAAAATATCTTCATGACATTGGGAGAGGAAGACATAAAAAATCAAAACCCACAAAGAAAAAGTTTTTGAACAGAATATGCCTAAAAATATTAAAATAAAGAAAAGGTTTGATATATTTGACTAATGACAAAAAGAAAATGTTAGAATGACAAAATAAAACATAGAGATAACATTTCATGAATTTGCGTGTCATCCTTGCACAGACAGGAGCCATGCTAATCTTCTCTGTATCATTCTAATTTTAGTATATGTGCTGCCAAAGTGAGCACAAAACATAAAGTTAACACAGGAGAGACCAGAAAAAGATGTCTGCAATGTGTATGACAAATAATAGGTTAGTATCCAAACTATGTAAATAACCCAGACATTTGTTTGAGTGCAGAGTCTCAATTCACAAGGAAGGAATATGAAGCGGTCTACCTAACACCCAATAAGGAAGCAGTTGGTAAGGCATATAAGAAGGATGCAAAACTGGTAATGGAGTATCTCACCATTTGTGATGAATGTTACATTACAGAAATTGAGATGCTGTTGAATGAGAAAGGGGAATTTACAATTGAAACTGAAGGGAAAACATTTCAGTTAACAAAAGATGTGGCCAAACATGATGAGATTCCAGAAAACACTCTATGTGGAAGAAGTTATTCTGAATGTAACTGAACCCTTCTTCAGCCTGAGCAGGATCATGAACATATATTCCATGTAAGAGAAGGAAATGAACAGAGAACATTCCTCAGTTTCCCTGCTGTAGTCACTCTATTCAAATGTTATGCCCTCTCACTGAGCCAAAACCAGGAGTTCATGCCATTTGTCAAGGAATTACTGGAAGCCCTGACCAGGCACAGGTTGTCTCACAAAGTAGATGATTCCTCTGGGTCAATTGGAAGATGCTATGCCAGGACTGATGAGATTGGTGTGGCTTTCAGTGTCACCATTGACTTTAACACAATGAACAAGGACCCCACACTGCAACTCTGAGAGACTGAGATGCAACGTGGCAGATAACAGCAGAGGTCTCTGAGCTGCCTAGTGTAGTCCGAGATCTGACCAGTGGCAGCATCATATGGGCCAATGTGGAGGCCAGGTATCCTCTCTTTGAAGAGCGATGATACAGGAGGTAGAAAGAAATTATTTAGGCAGATTTAGGTAGAAAGAAATTATTTAGGCAGATAGTGAGGGCAAACGAGTCCTCAGCAGAGCTTCCCTTCAAACAATAAGCAGCCCAAAAAATCATTTCTTTTCCTACAAAGAACAGCCTGAAAAATCAAGCTGCAAATATAGATAAGCAAGCTGGAAGCTTACACAGGAGAATGCCAGCAGCTGTACCAATAGGAAAGGGCTACGTGGGGGACAGGCGCGTGCACCATGGAAGCTCCATCTTCCCTTTTTTGTTAACACGTGTACAGTAAGAAAGAAATGGGCAATATGGCACAGCTCAGACAGAGAACCCACTTGCATAATAAAGATTGAGGTGGGGGTGGCCAGAGATTCGTGCCCTATGCAAATAACACACCTGGTCCTAACCGGTTTTTTGCACCCTATGTAAATCAGACACCACCTCCCCGTCAGCTCATCTATAAAACCCTCTGCATTTTGCTGTGGACCAGCAACTTATTTTTTCGGATCCCTCTCCGTAGCAGAGAGCTATTCTCTTTCTTTTCCCAATTAAATTTCCACTCTTAACCTCACTCATTGTGTGCCTGCATCCTTGATCTCCGTGGCTGTGAGACAACAAACCTCAAGTATTACCCCAGACAATGAGGCCACTTCAACAAGAGACTGGTAAAAAAAGAGACAATCAAGGAATAAGGACAATTTTTGGTGATGTACATTAATTAAATAAATAATGCTTATCATATCCACTTTATAAAAGAGAACAGCATTGTGATTATTCCCAGTAACTGTATTCTATCTTCAGTGGCTGTCAGATTTTTATCCCCACAGTTAAAATTGAAGGAATTCTGAAAAAAAAAAAAATCTTAACCTTGGGGATTAATATTTCAACATACGAATTTGGAGGGGGACAAATACATTCTGTCTATTACAGGGTCTAAAAGCACAATTGCCCACTTAATCTCTAATTGATGGAGTAATATTAATATTTAATATGCAGTTTACTTGTTAAATGCAGTTCCAAGCACTTTACATGTTTGGATTATGGCACTCTTGTATACTGGATTCTTTCCTTCAGCTCATACAAACACCTTCTAGTATCTCTCATTAAAAACAATAGCACACCCTTTTTGAACTCTCATAACCCTCCAGATGTTGCTCCATTTCTCTGTACTTTTTCATTTGTTTAAGGGTTTTCTACAAACGTTATGTCCACTTACTCATTTTCCACTTACTCTTTACTCACTACAATCTGAGTTTCACCTCCACTACCACACAGCAATTACTCTTGTCTAGGTCACCTGTAATCTCCATGTTACCAAATCCTATGAGCACATTTCTGCCTTCATTTCAGTTGATTCCATAGTAGCACTGCACATAGTCAATCACTCCTACCATTTTGGAATTCCCTCCTATATTGACTTCTGTGACACTCTTCAGTCTTGGTTTTCATTGTATACCATTGCCTACTCCTTGCCTGTCTCCTTTACTCCTCTTCTACCCAATCTTTAAATGTTGGCACTTCTCAAACCCCAGTGGCAGTACTCCTTTCTCTATACTCGTTCTCTTGATGTAACCCAGTCATTCTCAACAGGGTGTGATTTTGCCCCCTAGAGGACATTTGCCAATGACTAAAGATATTTTTTATCATGACAACTGGGAGTATGTCACTGGCATCTAAAGGACAGAGGCTGGAGACACTGCTAAACATTGATGGTGAGTATACAATCCTAAACCTAATATATTGTAATATATTGTATAACTCAGCCTCTCGAGTAGCTGGGCTTACAAGCACACACCACCATGACCAGCTAATTTTTGTATTTTTAGTAGAGATGGGGTTTTGCCGTGTTGGCCCATCTGGTCTCAAACTCCTGGCCTCAAAGTCATCTGCCCATCTTGGCCTCACAAAGTGCTGGGATTACAGGTGTGAGCCCAGGCCACCATGCGTGGCCTGAAACTTGAGTTTTATCACAAAATAGAACAACAAGAGTTTTATATATAACCAAGATGGAGTGACAGGTGATTGGATTTACTCTTTGACTAAACAACCAAGAAAATAAACATGTAACAGTGGTTTTCAAGCAGCAGACATCAGGCACTATAGGACAGAGATACTTGAAACTCAGAGAAACAAACAAGGTAATCACTGTTGCCCTAGTTTACTGCCTGGACAGATGTTTCTGTCCAGGCAACACTGCAGGGGTGTAGAACCCACACAGAACCCAGCCATCACCCCGAATTGAGGAGAGAGAACTGGGTGTCTGAGAAGGCAAAGGTGGTTAGAATTTGCAAGACAGGTCCCTGGAGAGAAATTATATGCGCAGAGAAAAAGATTGAACTCCAGAAATATTCAAAAGGTCCCCCTCAAATGTTCAACTGAGTATTGACCAGTGCATGCATATGAGAAAACTGTATGAGACTATGGAAGGAACATCCAGAAAAGAGCACGAGTAGCCACTGCCAGGGCTTACTACTCCAAGAATAGTCTGTGTTCTCACCAGGCAGAGTAGAACACCTTGTAATTCATAGTCCATTAGGTGGAGCATTCAGAAACGTATTGCCTCAGTAAAGGGAAAATTTAGCTCAGGACCAAAGGCCACTCTAGTCCTACCTTAAAATGCTTAAAAGCAAACCTCAAAAAGACCAAACTACTTGCTAATAATGTAGCTGTGTTCCAAAACCAGGTAAAAATATTTATTATAATATAAAAATATAAGATATAGAATATAAAGATAACCGGCACCAAACAATTACACAATGTCTGGGATCCAATCAAAACTTACCAGGCATGCAAAGAAGCAAGAAAAAAATAGCCTATGCTAAGGACAAAAATTAAACCATCATTCTCAGCAAACTGTCACAAGAACGGAAAACCAAACACCACATGTTCTCACTCATAAGTGGGAGTTGAACAATGAGAACACATGGGCACAGGGAAGGGAACATCACACACTGGGGCCTGTCAGTGGGTGGGGGGCTAGGGGAGGGATAGCGTTAGGAGAAATACCTAATGTAGGTGATGGATTGATAGATGCAGCAAACCACCGTGGCACATGTATACCTATGTAACAAAACTGCATATTCTGCACATGTATCCCAGAACTTTAAGTGTAATAAAAAAAGAAAAAAAATTAATCAATAGAAACAGACTCAGAAAAGACAAAGATAATAAAATTAGTATAAAAAGATATTAGAATAACAATTATTAATGATATTCCATATGTTCCAAGATGGTAGGTATAAGACTAATCATGTTTTGTAGATATATAAAAAATATTTTCCAAAAGACCCAAATTAATCTTCTAGAGACAAAAATGACAATTTCTGAGACTAAAAATGTACTATATGGAATTAATAACAGATTACACATTGCAAAAGGAAATACTAGTAAGCTGTGAGATATAACAGCAACTCTCCAAAATGAAGTACACACACACACACACACACACACACATGCGCATGCACGGCAGACAAAAAATAAACAGAGCATTAGCAAGTTGTAGGACAACTTCAAGAGGCCTAATAAAATGTAATTGGAATCTCTGAAGGAGAAGAGAGAGAGGAATAAATAGGAAAAAAAAATCTGAAGGAAAGAAAGTGCAATTTTTCCCAAATGTAATGAACATTATAAACCCACAGATTTAAGAAGTTCGATGAATCCAAAGCACAAGAAATATAAAGAAAAGTAAACCATAAAACATCATAAACATGAGGCTTAAAACCAGTGACAGAAATTTTTCTTTTTTTTTTTTTGAGACAGAGTCTAGTTCTGTCGCCCAGGCTGGAGGGCAGTGGTGTGATCTTGGCTCACTGCAACCTCCACCTCCCTGGTTCGAGCGATTCTCCTGGTTCAGCCTCCCGAGCAGCTGGGATTACAGGTGCCTGCCACCACGCCCAGCTAATTTTTGTATTTTAGTAGAGACGGGGTTTCACTGTGTTGGTCAGGCTGGTCTCGAACTCCTGACCTCATGATCTGCCCGCCTCGGCCTCCCAAAGTGCTGCGATTACAAGCATGAGCCACCACACCCAGCAGTGATAAAAAGAATCTTAAAAGCCCCCAGAGAGAAAAAGACATGTTATATATAAAGTAATATAAATAATAATAGCTGACTCTTGTTCAGTAACAATGCAAGCTAGAACACAGTGGAACAACATCTTTAGAATACTGAAAGAAGAAAACCTTCACAACTTAAATTTCTACCATTCACAAAAATTTACAATAAAGACTTTCCCAGACTTACAAAAGAGGCCTGGCACAGTGGCTCACACCTGTAATCCCAGCACTTTGGGAGGCTGAGGCAGGTGGATCACCTGAGGTCAGGAGTTTGAGACTAGCCTGGCCAACATGGTGAAACCTTGTCTCTACCAAAAAATTACAAAAATTAGCTGGGCATGGTGGCGCACACCTGTAATCCCAGCTACTCAGGAGGCTAAGGCAAGAGAATCGCTTGAAACCAAGAGGCAGAGGTTGTAGTGAACCGAGATCCCATCATTGCACTTCAGCCTGGGCAACAAGATAAAAGATAAGGCAAGGAGGAATGGAAATATACTGTTGTAATAACACAAAAGAAGACACAAAATAGGAATAAAAGAAAGATAATACAAATACAAAATAAACAGCAAGATGGCATGTTTAAACTGAAGCATAACAATCATTAATCATCAATTACTGAATGTAATTCATGTAAGCACCTCAATTAAAGATAAGAGATCGTCAAATTAGAAAAACAAAAGACAATTTTATGTGTATACATATGTCTAAATTTTTCAAATTGTACACTTTATATTCTTGGTTTATCATATGTCCATTATAGCTTAATAAAGATTTTAAAACAAATAAATAATCTAGTGTTTGGTAGCAGAATAGGGTGATTATAGTTAACAATAATGTATTGTATATATCAAAATAACTAAAATAGTAGAATCAAAATGTTCCTAACACAAATAATAAATTCTTGACGTGATGGATACTCGATTACCCCAACTTGATTAT